CACTTGAAACCCCCGCGGACGAACGACAGAGCGCCGGGGGCGGACTTCAGACGGCTGCGACGGCGCGAAACTGCATTCGAAGAGCGGGGTCAGGATGCTGAAGGACAATGTGAACATTGATGATTTCCGACTCCCTCTTAGGGCCTGAGAGATGTAAGCCGGCAACCCTGCCAGGCGCGGGCTCGCGGAAAATCGCAGGGGGGGGCCTCAGCAGATCGCGGGGGGCAACGTTGAGCAAGCCACCAGAGCTAGCACGGTTGCAGGAAGATCCGAAGACGGAGCGCCCCTGGAAGTCCCGAGACGGATGCGGAAGGCCCCCTGGGAACCCATGAGTTTCTCGAACGCAAACCATTTGATTTCGCTGAAGGGCGGCGCGACGTCATCGAAACTCGCGTCGGACCCGAAGTTGGCCCGCGCAAATTGACCCAATGAAAGCCCGCGAGCTCCACGTCGCCAACTTGAACGGGGGGCAAGAAATGCAATGCGAACATTGGGGGGGGAGGGCGAAAAGCCGACGCATCTGCACTGTCTGGCGCCAGAGGCACAGGGGAACAAGGGAGGGCGCGGCACGGGGCACGGCGAACCCCGGGCGCGCCCCGGCCAGCGCTCTGAACAAACTCGGGACCGGGGTGCCCTGAGGGGACACTTCAGGGATCTGCCACGACGCTGTCGATCCTTCCCTGGGGGATGCCCCGGCAGGAGGTTGGCGTAGAGCGGCCCCATACTACAATTGTCCTCGCCCTGCTGGACTGCCTTGATCAGTTTGGATAGTCGTCGCCAGCGATGACCTGCAAGACTCACCCATGGCCGTTGGCCCCCAGCTTGCACCCTCCAGCCCAAGAAGGGCTGTTCTTCAGCTCCTCGGGGGCGTCGACGAAGAGCCCCGACAATGCGGACTTGTTCTGCCTCACGCGGGCGGGAGATCGCCCCGTGGCCCTCAGGGGTGCATCTTCAAATCGCGAACGTGTGTCCATTCCATGTTCAGCGCGTTCATTTTCTGCGGGACTCCTCGGCGTCGCTCTCGACAGCATACTTCAGCTTGCAAACCTGGCTCGCTCCATGGAAGATGGTTGACACTCTAGGCTCATCCTTCAGCTTACGGAAGTGTTCCTGCATGTGTTTCCCATGGGCCTGGCAGGTCTCTATGAGCAGCGGTCTTGGGAACGCGCCCACACTGAGGTCGATGATCTCGCACTCAAGCCCGCTGGCCTCGCCCCCCTCGGAGTTCCTGATGGCGACGGCCCAGCCGATGGCGAAGCCCTGATATTGGCCGCCGACGCAGCGCAGCGACTGCTGCCAACACCTCTGCCACGACCTGCTTCGGAAGATGCCAACCGTTGACATTGAGCTAGTACGTCGGCTCGAAGTTGCCGCAGTTCTAGGCCCTTACACTCAGCCGTCTCTGGAGACCAACGACCGCACCCTGAATCTAATAGTTGACTAGGTTGTTCAAGCTATCCTTCTGCGCCTCGAACCTACTCTTGATATACTCAATGAGAACGTTTCTCCCTGCGCAGCGGCCAAGGCAACTGCCGCTCGCGGTGCGCGATAAAAGTGGCCGCCTGACAGTCCGGCAACTTCCATGGGCCAGCCGCGTGGCCGCAACCAAACTGAAGCCACGGGGCGACGGTTTCAGATTGCGCCAAGCTTCCCACGGAAAGGGAGGAGGAGGAGGAGGAGGAAGAGGAGGATGACAAAGAGGAGGAAGAGGAGGAGGAGGAGGAAAGAAGACCGAAAAGGAAACAGAAAACGAGGCTGTGGACAGGAAGGGGACGTTGAAGACCCGCTCCAGTTCAGCGCCCATTCTGAACCCGAACGGGTCTTGAAGGAAACCTTTTTCTTGTTACGCCGCTGCACTGCTGCGCTGACACGGGGGGGGGGGGGCCGCGGGAAGCTGGCCAATGTGACCCCGCCCTTACGGACACGCATGCCTGCGCCAAAGACAAGGAGCGGCTGCGGCGCACGCGCCAGCACCACGATGATCAGACGACGCCTGGTCTCTGTAATCAGACGCTCTTGAAATGCACGTGCTTGGCCACGCGCAGATTCGCGCCGACGAAGACACATGCTTGCGGCGCACTCTAGCGCGGCCGTGCCCAGGCAATGCTTGTACCGGCGCGTCGGCGCGCCAGCGGTGCCTGAGCTTCGCGGGGCGCAGCGCCTGCGAAGTCAAATAGCGCGGCGACTTCCACGCCTACCCTGGCGCTTGGATGTTTTGACGCGCCTGCGGCGCCTGCGCCTTGCCATGCGCCGACGGACAACGCAGCGCCCGCGGTGCCCGCGCTAACGCCACCATTTACAAACGACGCCTGCGCCCTTCGATTTTCCGTGCCAGCAGCGCGTACGCGAACGCCCCGCGTAGCGCCTGCTCCGGCAAAACCATCGACTCGGCGACCCCAGATGCGCGGGGATGATTCGGCAATTTTGAAGAGCTAACACAGGGGGAAACCAAAACCAGCGTTTGGCTTGACACGTCCTCACCGTCTGGCCGCGAACCGAGAAGTGCAACACCACTTGTCGGGTCCTCCTTGAGGCGGCATGCCTGCTACATCGCCGTGGCCATAGGGCTTCGGAGATGTAAGACGAGCGCCTCGCTAGAGACATCCCCGCAGTCTGACCGCGAACGGGCAAGGGTCCAGTGATCACGGAACGCCCCGAGGAATCCCCGGAATGCGGCCGCGATCGGCAAGTATCCCGGCGGCTTTACCTTGAGGTGACCAAACGCCACGCCTGCGACAGCGCAGTGGGCTTCGGCGGATCTGATCACGAGGCGAGAATTTCATCGGGCCTGGGTGTGAGTGCCAGTCCCCTGCTGCACCGCCTCAGCAGTCACCAACATCCCAGGCGCTTGGCCCGGCAGCATTCTGCTGCAGCCCACGCGCTTTGACGCAGCACTCCGCGGTTTTCTCGCGTCCAGCTGTCGCCGACCGTCTGCAGCAAAGCCTGACGCTCTCGGCAACGTGGCAAACCATCGGATGATCAAGCTCCTACAGCCGTGGGCCCTCTTCATCCCGTTCTCCCTGACGTACTGGCTCACCTTGCTCATCACGCTCCCTGCGACTGCAAGCCTGGCTCCGGTCGCTGCGTGTGGCCGTGATGCCGTCCCACGTCCACTGCCAGGTCACTTGGGCCCCAGCTGGCCGCACCGGCGCGCTCATCCTGAACTGATTTCCGCGGTGAGTGCCCTCCCCTCCTCCTGCTCTCAGCGGCCGCTCCTCCCCGCCTTTTCCCCCCCTTGTGCACCCGGGCAAGTAGTCCGCCGAGCGCCCCCGGCAGCTCGAGCGCCCGCGCAGATTGCCCCTACTAGGCCGCGACGGAAGGAGTGACAGGCAGAGGGTGGGTCGGAGTGAGGGGGCCCAACGGTCTTACATGAAGGGGCCCTGGGACACACAAATAAATACACACAAATAACAGGAATCACCATATTGCCCCATATTCTCTCGGTTTCTGTCTTCCCCCCCACTTCCCATATGTTCCTATATATTCTTGGGAATCGACGATGAATTGTGTCTGTGTGTTTTTTCCCCTCCTGACTTACACCATCCCTGATGCCGTGGCCCTGGTTCTGCCCGTCGTTTGTGGTTTGCTGCTCTGGTTGTTACTATTTTGTCGTCCCCCCCGCGATCCCCCCGCGACCCGCCCCGCGACCCGCCGTTCCACCCCGCGACCCACCCCGCGACCCCCCCCGTGACCCACCCGCGATCCACACTGCGACCCATCCGCAACCGACCCGCGACCCACCCCGCGCCCGCCACCTCACTCTTCTCCGCAATGGCGGGGTGGTACGTAGGTTATGACTGAGCTGAGTATGAATGTTTCTGAGCGTGAACGTTCTGAGTGCGTGAGTCTGAGTGTGAGTGATTCTAACTGAGCGTAGGTCTGAGTAGGAGTGAGCCTGAGTACGAGTGAGTCTGAGTGTGGCTGAGCCTGAGTGTGAGTGACCAAAATATGAGTGACTGACTGAGAAGTCCTAGCATGACTAAGCAAAATGCGAATGGACCCGAGTATGACGATATAAGCTAAGTTGAGTATGAGCGAGCGAGGGAGGTAGTGGAGGCATCACACAATAGCACGAATCCCATCTTAGGCGATGGGGAGAACAAACGCATGCGGTCCCTGCGCTAAACCAAGGGTGCACAGGTGGTGCCTGCGCCTCATGTTTTCACGTACATAAGGCGTCTGCACCCGACAACGGTCACGGCGCTGGCGACGAGGAAACTATTACATACATGATACGCGGCAATCTACACTGCACCCCGGCGCAAATATATTCCCCAAGTAGGCTATCCACGCTTCGTCCGGCTCATAAGGTGAAATGGAGAAAACGAATGTACTTCGACGTCGACGTCGCCGTCGCCGCCGCCACCACCGCGGCCGCTTCCATGGGCGCCGACGCCGCTGCCGCCCCGCGGTGGGGCGGCTGGCGAAGACGAGGAGGACACAGATGACGGACAAGACGACGACGACGACGACGACGACGACGACGACGACGACGACGACGACGACGACGACGACGACGACGACGACGACGGCGGCGGCGGCGGCGGCGGCGGCGGCGGCGGCGGCGGCGCCGACGCCGACGGCGACGGCGACAGTGTCGCCATTCATCGATTGCGGCCGCCGCCGATCAACGCCGTCACAATCTACTGATCGCCGTGACGGCGGCGCAAAGACGTCGTCAATCGCCACCGCCGCCGATCGACGCCGTCGCCGTTCATCGATCCCTGCCGCCGTCGTCGTCGCCGCCGCCGTCGATCGACCACCGCCGTCGCCGTCGTCGTCGACTGGCCAGCGGCGGCGGCGACGCCGCTTGGCGGCGCGCAGAGGGGGGTATGAGGAGAGGGGAAGGCTTCTGAGAAGCAGGGGTGCTTCTAAGAAGCCTTCCCACCTCCCGCTGCCTCCCTCCTCGCGTGGCTGAGCCGTGGCGACGCCGCCGTCGATCGATCCGCGGCGGCGATCGATCGATCGATCGGCCAGCGGCGTGCTGCGAGCTGCCCAGCCTGCACGAAGCGCACTGGGGCGTCCCGCGCTGGCGGCGGCTGGGGCGGCATGTGTGCCGGGGGTGGGAGGGGGAGGGGGCGGCGGCGAGGGGCCAAGAAAAATGCTGCGGGCCGCGCGGAGCGTGAAAGAGTCTGGCACAGCAGCGGCAGCAAGGAACAGCTAAGAAGAAGCCAGGACGTGGATAGAATCGCAGAGAGGACAGATCGATGATATCTAGAGAATGTGACTATCGGGCGCCGCGGCCTTCTCAGAGCGTTCTGGAACGCTCTGAAAGCGTTCCCGTTCCAGAACACTCTGAAACGGATTTTGGCGGCGCGCAGAGGAAGGTAGGGGTAGGGGGGAAGGCTTCTTAGAAGCGCCCCTGCTTCTTAGAAGGCGCGGGTCTCATCTGCAGATGTAAGGCCGGCGCCTTCTCGGAAGCAGCCTCCTTCTGAGAAGCCTCCCCCCCTCCCCCTGCCCCCCTGTGCGCGCCGCCAGGAATTCCTCCCCGCCCTGGCCCCGGCCGAGCACCAGAGGAGGGAGCACGCGACCGCCGCCTGGCAGATATCGTGGCCGCGCGGGCTCCCTGCCAGCAGCGGTGGTGCGCTGCGCGGCGGCGGAGCGCGGGCGGCCGAAGGGCGCGAGAAGCAGGCGGACGACGGCGAGCGCGCGAGAGGCAGGCGGGCGGGCAGGCGGGCGGAGCGGCGGCACGCAGG